CCCCAGCAGGCCTCGAAAGTGGCGACAGTTTCACAGATCGCAGCCCCCCAGGGATGGCGAGGTCTAATTTGAGTCCGCCCGTGGTGTACACTGTGCTGGGCCCCCCAGCAGCCTCGAAAGTGGCGACAGTTTCACAGATCGCAGCCCCCCAGGGATGGCGAGGTCTAATTTGAGTCTGCGGTGTGTACCCACTGTGCTGGCCCCTCAGCAGCCCTCGAAAGTGGCGACAGTTTCACAGATCGCAGCCCCCCAGGGATGGCGAGGTCTAATTTGAGTCTGCGGTGTGGCCCACTGTGCTGGGCCCCCAGCAGGCCTCGAAAGTGGCGACAGTTTCACAGATCGCAGCCCCCCAGGGATGGCGAGGTCTAATTTGAATCTGCGGTGTGGCCCACTGTGCTGGGCCCCCCAGCAGGCCTCGAAAGTGGCGACAGTTTCACAGATCGCAGCCCCCCAGGGATGGCGAGGTCTAATTTGAGTCTGCGGTGTGTGCCCACTGTGCTGGGCCCCTCAGCAGCCCTCGAAAGTGGCGAAAGTTTCACAGATCGCAGCCCCCCAGGGATGGCGAGGTCTAATTTGAGTCTGCGGTGGGTACCCACTGTGCTGGGCCCCTCAGCAGCCCTCGAAAGTGGCGACAGTTTCACAGATCGCAGCCCCCCAGGGATGGCGAGGTCTAATTTGAGTCTGCGGTGTGTACCCACTGTGCTGGGCCCCTCAGCAGCCCTCGAAAGTGGCGACAGTTTCACAGATCGCAGCCCCCTGGCGAGGTCAAAGGCAGGGGGGAAGAGAGGGACGGGAAGGAAGGAAGAAGGAAGGAAGGTTCGCGCGAGCAGTGCTCTATTCAAAACGAGAACCCAACGCAGGAGGGTTGGGAACAACGAATGCAAAGAATACCACCTTCTGAGGAGGCCTGCCCTTTGTGGGCCCAGGAAACGGCAGGGCCTTTTCTGCACCGTTTCCAGAAAAAATGTCCCTTGAAAATGGGAACGGCAAAAAAAGGCGACCGGAAACTACAAACAAACGGCTCCAGGATTGGAACCCTAGCCGGAGCCGGTCAAAAAACGGCATCGGAACCGGCAGAAAAAAACGGCAAAACGGAACCGGCAAACAACGGCAAAACGGAACCGGTAAAAAAACGGCCTTGTCGTTTCCAGGGCCCACTATAGGGCCTGCCCCCCCTCACTTCCCCCCGGAGCTCGCCGCCGGAAGGGGCCACAAGGGCAGCAACCAAATCTCAGACAAGGGACGAGAGGCCCGGAGGCCGGAGGTTTCCGCTTGCGGCATGGCTCGTCGGCTCTCGGCGGATCCTTGTTCGGGAGCGGCCAAGACGGGGGTGTCCAAGAGGGGGGGGGGTGCAAATCATGACCGGCGGCATGTGCACGGCCCAGCGGGGGGGCCAGGGACGTAATGAAGATAAGAAGAGGCGCCAAGAAACCTGGGGAACTATCATGGCCCCCGCCATGGTATCCCCCCCCCGTAGTCATTACCCCCCTCTTGGCCGCCCCCGATTTGCTCCTGCCTTCGGTGCGCGGCTTTTGGGGGGCCGCGGGGAGACCAAACTCAGGCGCGCAAGGCGCTACTAGTAGGGAGCCCACAAAAGGACGTACGCGCCCAGCTTTGTACATGAACACGGCCCCTCGATCCGTGAGACCCGCCGCGTTATACGAACATTTGCGCATAATGTGAACTCTCGAAACCAGCGTGGATTCATGTACATGTACGTCCTTTTTCCGCTCCTGAACTATCGCATCGCAAGCGGTGATCGGAGAACCCCATTCTACCCTACCCGCACCAAAAAGTCACTCCGGCGAAAGGCCACTCTTGCGTGTAGTCGACTTTGGACGCCCGAAATGGGTACCGTAAAAATGGGTAGTATGCCCAACAGCAAATGTTGTCCCAAACCAACAGCGGCCGCTGTTGGGCAGGCGGCCTCCTGTCTCGAATGGACACAGACCGCGGCGGCGTGGACAGCGAGCCCCGTTCAAACTGAACAAGATCCGCTGTTGGGCATTGTACCCATTCTTTCAGTACCCATTTCGTGCTTGTAGTCGACTTGTTCCTGCCTCGGGACGCGCCATCAGCACCCGGGGCCTCGCCGCGGGCCTCTCGGGGGGGGGGCCCGCTGGTCGTCCCGCGAGCGGCCGCCGCCGGAGCGCCGAGCGGTGGTCCCCGAGAGCAGAGCAGGCGGCGGGGGCCTTCTCTCCGAGGGGCCCCGGAGCCTGCCAGGAGCCTCGAAGAGAGGCGCCTGCCTTCCCAGACCCCCTCGAGTCATGAAAAAATCACGACGGGAGGTTTTTCTATGGTTTCGGCCTCCGGGGGCCCTTACCGGCCCTCGGGACCCTCAAAAAGCGACTCGGGGTGAAAATCCAGTCCCGTCGAATAGGTCCGGACCTCTGGGGGTCGCGTCATGAAAAAATCATGACGTCGGGGGTCTGGGAAGAGAGGCGCCTGCCTTCCGAGAAGCCCGGCGCCTCCTTAGAGGCCCTGGAGCCTGCCTTCTAAGAAAGAAAGGCGCCTGCCTTCTAAGAAAGCAAGAGCCTGTCAGGAGCCTCGAAGAGAGGCGCCTGCCTTCCGAGAAGCCCGGCGCCTCCTTAGAAGCCCACCTGTGGATCGGGCATGTCCCCTACAGGCGGATTTTGAACAAAAATAAAGAGTTTTATAAGTACTACACAATTCTTAAAATGTATTGAAAACAATCCCCCGAATATTTTTTGACAATTTTTGAATACCCCTCCTGTAGGGGGACAGGCCCGACTTGAAGCCCACCTCTCTCGCGACACCCCCCTGCGGCCGCGGCGCATCGAGGGCAGGGTCGGTGGGGCGGCCAGCTCTCCGCTGCACTCACGCCCAGCGGCCCCAAAGCAGTGAGAGCACAATGCTGGACAGGAAGGAATTCGAGCACCATGCCAAGACTGAGCGCAGGAACGTCGGTGTCGGTCTTCGTCATCGCCCATCCTGGTCATCAGATTCTGAAGGGGCCCAGGGACACACAAATGAATACACACACACACACAAATCCCAGGATTCCCCAGCATTTCCTACATTTCCAAGGTTTCTGTCTTCCCTTCCACTTCCCATATGTTCTTATATTTTCCAAGGGGTCGACGATTCATAGTGTCTGTGTGCTTCTTTCCCTCCTAAGATTCGTGGACCATCCACGGGAAGCGGCGAGGGCCTGCGCGGACCGTGGCCGAGACCAGTGCCGACAAGATCCCAGGATACCTTGGTCATGGCCATCGTGTCTCTTCTCTCGTCTTAGGTCGGGCCTGTCCCTCTACAGGCGGATTTTAGACGAAACATAACAAGAACAATAATAATAACAATATTGATAATGAAACACACATTCCACAACAATACTCAAAAATTGACAAGAAAAAATCGTCCCCTAACTATGTTTTGATTGTTTTTGAACAGAAACCCTGTACAGGGACAGGCCTGACTTAAATTCTTGATCATGCTCATCGCGTTTCTTCTCTCGTCCGTTCTTTCGAAGAGAGGCTCCGTGGGGTTGCCAGCTCTCGGCTGCGCGCAATTCCAGTCCACAGCATTGGGAAACAGAAGCGCTGCAGATTCTCAAAATTTTCGGCCTCTGGGGCTCCTCACTGGGCCCTGGAACTATCAACAAAACGACCCGAGATGAAAAGCCCGCACTGGGAAGAGGTTCGGGACTTCCGGGGACCGCGGGTCCTTCTTGCAGGTTTGATGACGACGGCGCCGAGGAGAACGACGACGACGACGACGACGACGACGACGACGACGACGACGACGACGACGACGACGACGTCGAGAAACGGTTCTTTCCAAAGGTTGTTGTTGGCTTCTGGAGGTTGCGCCGCACCTGGAGGCTTCCCAGCAGCTGCGCCTCGCCAAGAGGGCTCCGGTGGTGCCAAGATCTGCCCCGATCGGCCGCCGCAGGCCCAAGTACAGGGTTATATATATATGTTGTATATATACATATATATATATATATAGTTGACATATATACAAGCCTATATGTGGCCTGTATGTGTAACGAATATATGTATACATAACATATATGACATATCGTATATGTGTTATATATGTGGCCTGAAGCCCAAGATCTCCGGAGGTATGACGTCTCCAGTCCTTGCGTCTTGCCTCGACCTCGGGCCTCCCCTGAGGTCCTGGCGTGGCAACCGCTCCGGGACCCCGGGACCCTCACAGATCGAGCCGGCTCGAGAAGTGCCGCAGAGAGATGAAGTCAGGGGCTCCCGCCGTGGTCTTGTGCGATGCTGCATCTTTTTGGCAGCGTCGGATCTCGGGGCCCAGAGGAGTCCTGGATGGGATACGAGTCAATGGGGCCAGGAGGCCGTTTTTTTATCGGCGATGGCCTGGGCTATCGGGGGGGGGGGGGAGGAGGAGGAGGGGGCTGGCCGATGACCTAACCTTCGCGCTGTGGGCAGCCCTGCATGTGCCCGCGCCCCCCCACCACGGACCTGCACAATTGGCAAGGTTAGGTGATCCTGGGGGGGGGGAACGGGGGGGAGCCCGATCGATAACCCGGGCGATCGCCGGACCCCCCCAAAAAAACAGTCTTCAGAGGCTTGCACCGAATCGCCGACACATCGCCGAGGCATCGGCGACGTCGGCGTGGAGATACTGGGGGCTCCACGTGGCGCCGCGGCGCCGAGGCAGCGGCGATGCGGCGCGATCCTCCGACCCCATCTGCTCGGACCCCATCGGGGGGGGTCCAGGGCCTCGGGCCCCGCAGCCACCAACAAAAGGGGATATCCTGGGGGGAGAAAGCCATCCTCAAATGTGTTCAACAAGTGTGGTGGAAATGTGATAAAACGCGTTAGGATGCGTGTATTACCACGTTTTGTATCACACTTGTTTGCATCACATATGCTTTTTTCAATAACACTTGTTCGGAAAAAGTGGTCGGGACCTCGAGGGATCCCGCAGTGAACGAGCGGCAGAACAAACATCGTCGGAGGCAGTCTGGGCTCGACCCCCCCCCTTTCCCCGGAGCCGGCCAGGACCTTGCGCAGCGCGCGGAGCGCCTCGTTGTAGTCACCATCCTCTGGCACGATGGCAGGAGGAATACAGAGCAGAGTAAGCATAGAGCAGGCACACCAACCAAAAGGAGACTGGCTGACCAGTAGATGCCATTGAAGTGTCAGATTTCCCAGTGGCCCCAGAGGCCCACAGAAGCTCGGGGGCACCTCAGGACGCTCAGAGATCGATGAACAACATGCCCCGACAGTTCTGAAAGCAAGATTTCTGAGCGACGAACGATGTGCCCCGACAATTCTGAAAGCAAGATCTCTGCTCTTATGTGCCTATAGCACCTGCTGGAAGTCAGCGCGGACTCCTTGGATTGGCGCTGGCCCCCCCCTTCACGGCGCGCGACGGCGCGCCGAAGGCAGCGCCGGAGGCGCCGCCAAGGGCGGCCCACCACCGATCCATGAGATCCGCGCGGACCTCCAGACGTTTATGCTTATGCAGCTTCTTTTTTTTTTCCTTCGACAGGCCCCGACGTCGTGATTTCGCTGACTACGGCGTGGGACCTTGGAGGCCGCGACCCCTTCCTGGGGACTGGCTAGTTCATCCTGAGGTATGTTTCTGTTGACGGCCCCAGGGCTTGGGAATATAGCAACTGGGAGGCGATGAAATAGCCCAAAACCTTATTTCTTCGCAACGAGCAACGTCTGGGCTTCTTCACAGGGGAAGAAACGGCACCACCACCATCGCGAGGAGCAAGCAAGGGTCCTCCCAGTGGTGTGGTCAACTTGTTTTGCACCGCCCCGCTTGAGACATCTCCAATTTCCAGCTCGGGGAAGCCCCGTGCACCTCTCCGCCCGAGGCAGCCATGTGGTAATGTTGGTGGTGCCACTTCTACTAGGTGGTGGTGCCACTTCTCCTACCCAACCCTGGCACCCGACGTTGAGGAGAAACTGCAATATCCTAAGGGAAATCAAACGGAGTCCTAGGCCCTGTCTTTCCACTGCATTTCCTAAGCCAGATCGTTCTGTGAGGGCCTCGGGGCCCGAAATAAAACAAAAATGCCCGTTGCGAAAAAGACTCGACGCCACGATCTCCGGGGGCCTCATGTTGGCGGCGCGCTCAAAGGGGGTAGGGGGAGAGGGGAAGGCTTCCTAAAAGGAGTATCCTCCTCAGAACGCGCCAGACCTACATCTATAGATCAAGCCCGCGCCTTCTCGGAAGCAGGGGTGCTGCTAAGAAGCATTCCCCTCTCCCCCTACCCCCCTCTGCGCGAGGCTGACGATCGACGGCCGACCCAGACATCCAGCGTCCCGGAAAAATCGAGACGGAGGTTGTTCCTGGCGTTCGTTTCTTCGAGGCCCTTATCGCGCCCTGGGACCGTCCAAAAACGACTGGGGATGGAAAGCGGGTCCCTGGGAAGGGGTGCGGTCCTGAATTTTTTCCAGAACCCCACAGGACTGGACCCCAGGGAAGGGGTCCAGTCCTCCGGGGGTCCATGCCACGAGCAAAATCACGACGTCCCCCTACCCTCGGGCCGGGCGAAAGGGGGGGATAGCAAAGGGGGGGGTTGAGAATCGGCTCACGTAGCTGATTTTCCCGGCGCCTCCCGGCGCCGGAGGCGGCTATGTATCGAGGAATGGGCCCCTCGGTGGGCCGAAACCAGCTGCATGCAGCAAATTTCGTACTCCCCCCTATCCCAATCCCCTCCTTTCGTCTGCCCCGATACCCCCCTCTGCGCGTGGCTGAACCATCTCAGGGCACTCCATGGGCGCTTCCTGGACCAACTGCAAGAAGGCCTGTACGTGCTCCGCCGGCAACGCCTGGGCAGGGCGGCGTCGACGGCGACGGCGACTCCTGCGATGTCGGCGGCGGCTGCGGCGACGGCCCCAGGCATCCGACCGAGGTGGCTCATCTATGCTCGGGTACGTAGGGGATCGACTGCAGATTTGATGTGCCCCAGAATTGATCTCCCAGCCGAGTCTGCGACGAATGCGTAGACTGCTCCGCAGATCTATACGGAACATGCTCTGCGTGTCCGTCGCAGGTCCGGCGGGAAGATCAGTTGGAGGGGCAAGTCAGTGCTGCAATCGATTCTCTACTCGAAATGCGCTGCCCTGGGTCCCGACCCGACCGCTCCTCGGCTACACGCAAGGATTGACCCTGGGCAAGAGTGTCCTGCGGGTGCGCGGCTCAACGGGGGACGCGGGGTGGCCACTCCTGGGCGCGCAAGCCGCTGCTACCGCTTCGCGTTCAGCGATCGGGAGGCCCCGCTGACCTCACTCCGGCGAAAGGTCACTCTCACGTGTACAGTCGGACCCAAGCCAGAAGAACATCCCTTAAGAGAACGAGACCCTCCGCTGGCCAGAACGCACAGAGAATCCAAGGGTGCCCTCCCCGGGGCGCCCGAGAACATGCCCCAAGCACGGAGCACACCAGGAGGCCCTCCCAGCACCGACCTCGATCTTATACCAGGGTGCCCTCCGCGGGGCGCCCAAGAACATCCCCCAAGCACGGAGCAAACCAGGAGGCCCTCCCAGCACCGACCTCGATCTTGTACCTCGGCCCGGCTGCAGCCGAGCTTCCCTTGGGGCAGCCCCTCCGCCCCGGGCTGCGCGTCCGAGGGGCCCCTCTCTGGCTCGGCGGCGGGCCCCCCCGAGGCCGAGATCGGGGGAAGGCGCCGACACCGAGGGACTCGCGCCGACGGAGCGGGCTTCGCGCCATGCGGCCGGACGTCACTGGACGGGACACCTCATTGGGGAGACGTACGAGTTCTAACAGAAGCAATGGTCGGGCGCAGAGTGGTCGCGCACAAGGCGCGCACAAGGCGTCGTGTGCAGGAGAAGGAAGCAAGAGAACGCGATTCGATGCCCAGAGTCCGACACAAGAGCCCGCACAAGACCGCACAAGACATCCCGCACAGGACCTCGCACAAGACCTCTAGGACCACTCTTTCTTTGAACATCGTAAGAATCGGGTACGGGGGTCTCGGGCTGGCATGACGGGGCCATCATGAAAATGACAAGGCCGAATCTGAAATTTGACGCGAGCTCCCGCTGCGAGCATCCCACGAAAACTGGAGGGTCAACATCGAGGGCGCGCTCGTCAAAAAACGTCGGCGGACCGGAGTTCCGGCTTGTTCGAGTCTTACGTTTCCCCGACCTGGACACAATCGGGGGTTGCTCAAGGTGCCCCTGGCCCAAGGTGCTCCCAGCTTTTCGCACCATGTTTGAGCCCCTGAGGCCCTGTGGGCATCGTGAGGGGCGCTCTGGAGCCTTGGGGGCATCGTTGGGAATCCTGGGGGCACCGTGGGCCAGGGGCACTTTTAGCAACACCCGACACAAGACTCTTTCGACGGCAACGCGGCCCCAGAACGACAAAGGACATGCGGATTGCATAGGTCGGGATAGACAGGACACAAGGGTACCCTCGATTTGGCATGGTCGACCTACCAATCCGGGCCGACTGTAACCCGGGGCCTCCAGCAGACGTTCGGGACGATACTGGCACCCACAGCACGCTCGCGGTGAGGAGCAGCTGCTGGAAAGCCTCCCGAGACTGAAAAACCGCCGAGATTCGAAGAGAACTTCCAAAAGTCTGGGACACAGATCGCCTGAGTTCTCTCATGCCTTGGGCGGCGGGGGCGGCGGCGCCGGCGAAGACGGCGGCGGCGACGGCGAAGCCGGCGACGGCGGTGGCGTCGCCCTGAGGCTGCCGCAGTGACCGTCGTCGCCGCCCGCTGTCGCCGCCGCCGCCGCCGCAACCGCCGTCGTCGCCGTCGCGACTACGACAGCGGCGGCGACAACGAGGACGAGGACGAGGACGAGGACGAGGACCACGACGACGAGGAAGACGGCGGCGCTGACGACGGCGGCGGCGCTGGCGACGGCGGCGGCGTCGCCTTGAGGCTGCCGCTGGGCGGCGGCGGCGGGGGCCGGCACTCCCTCGAGGGCCCCGCGCCGCCCTTGCCGCCAGCGCCCTTGCCGCCGGCGCGCCGCGCCGGGGTGGCGCGGCTCGCGGGTGGGCCGCGCCCGCGCCCCTGGCGGAGGGACGACGACGACGACGACAACGACGACGACGACGACGACGACGACGACGACGACGACGACGACGACGACGACGACGACGACGGCGGCGGCGGCGGCGGCGGCGACGACGGCGACGAGGACAACGAGGACGAGGACGAGGACGCAAGGCCGACGAGGAGGAGGACGAGGACGAAGACGAGGACGAGGAGGAAAGCGACGACATCAACAGCAGCAGCAGCAACAACAACGCCAACAGCAAAAACAACAACAGCGGCAGCAACAACAGAAACAACACCAACAACACCAGCAACAACAACATCAGCGACAAGAGCAACAACAACAACAACAATTACTAGCACGTGGGGACACTCCGTTCTCACCAGTGCCAGGGTTTTCATAGGAGGCGGGCAATACCCCCACTTTGTGGGGGGGCCGGTTCAAGCTCTACCAAATTTCCAAACGACTCTTCGCCACCACCCACACCCAGCTTCCCGCCCTATGACGTTCGGACACTTCACTTCGTGGCATGCGGACGACCGTGGCTACTATTCAGGGCCCCGCGGCCGACGACGACGGCGTGCGCGCGCGAAGAAAAACGAATGTGTCCCGCATGGTATTATTTGACAGGGATGATGGCCCTGGCAGGTGCGCAACCGTTGTCGCAGAAGTTCGAAAAAGTTGCTCGCAAAAGCCCGTTTGACAGAAATGTTTAAAAAGTGTTGGGTTTCCTACGAATCCGCAAGAGCGCGCGGGATGAGATTTTGACATTTTTTGTTGAAAAACCATTGGTTTTTTGATGTTTTTATGTTAAAATCGCTCCGAACACTAAGCTTTTGGAAGGATTTCGTCTTGCGCGCGCGAATGTCCACTTTACCTTATTTTTTGCAAGGGATTCTTGAAATTTGATTATATTAGAACAAGAAATGTCATTTTATAATGTTTTTTGCAAGGGAAAACGGATTACAACAAAACAACCGGATCTGGATCACATCGTTTTACCTGAGGCTTCCTCACGAAAATGATGAAAACGTGGCTGCGGCCTAGGCGCGGCGGGGGGGGCGTGCACCAGGGGGCCCAACAATAATTATTCTTTAGAAGTAATAATATTCAACAACAACAACGGCAGCAACAACAACAACAACGAAAACAACAACAACGAATATAACAACGACAGCAACAGTAACAAAACCAGCCACAACCACAACAACGCGAACAAAAACATGGACGACACTGCAACTAGAGCCCCGTTGCACGGGGACTGAGGTCAATGCCTGTCCTTGGGGGACGACCCTTCTCCTAGAGCCCCAGGGGTCGGACCCCCCCCCAGCAATCAGCAACCAGCAACCCAACTGGCCCCTCAAGCTTAGCTTGAAACCTACCAATCCTATGATTACACGAACCCATGGACGTGCGCTCTCGATGAAACATGTGCGCGCCAGCACGGCGCGCAACCTGGTCGGGACCCTGCGCGATCCCTACAGATCTCGATACAGCTCTTCAGGGGGCCCTACAGCCCTACTCAAGACTCCCTACTTGGATCCCTACTTCGGATTCCCGACTAAGGATTCCCTACGACAGACTTCCTACTAAGGACTCCCCACTAACGATGCCCTACTAAGAACCCCTTACTAAAGATGGCGGGATGGGAGGGGCCGAATGGATGGGAGGATGTGCATGAGGATGATGATCGTCATCATTATCCTGATTACCATCATAATCAGCAGCACCATCAAGTATCATCATCGTCAGTATACTAATCACCAGCATCATGATCAGCATCCACATCATCATTATTATCATCATCTTCGTCATAACCAGCAGCATACTATTCACCATCGGCACCATAGACAACATCATACTTTTATTCATCGTCATAAGCATTACCATCATCATCATCATCATCATCATCATCACCATCATCATCACCATCACCATCATCAACACCAGCACCATCATTATCATCACCAGCAGCATCAACATCACCATCCAACATCATCATCACCATCATCACCAAAACCCATTAAGAATATATCAGGAATCCGCTTACAACCTCAGGCATCCGTAAGCTTTCATATCTATCCATAATAATCCTTAGGAATCCTTCGGGGTCCTTAGCAAGCCTGGGGAATCCTTTTGGAATTCTCGGAAAACCCTCGGAATGTTGAATATGCCATTGGGAATTTGTGGGAATCCTTCGGAATGTTTCGGGATCCTTAGGAACCCTGCAGCCCTGGAGGCAGGGGAAGAGAGGACGGATCGAAGGAAGGGACAAGGGGGAAGGAGGAGGATGAAGCACGAGAGAGAGAGAGGGAGACTAACAGAAGTGGGACCAGGAGCAGAAAACACGTGGCGGAACCAGACGCGCAGATGGGGCGGGTAGACCCTAACGGGCGGGTCGGGAAGGCAGGCCCAGGCGGCCAGGTAGAGCAGGCGGGTTGCTGAAGCGTGCTGCATGAATCGCGAGGGCGCCTCGAGCGATAGCACAATTCCCAAGTAAATTGCGCAAAAAACCATAGCGAGAGTGTGATTCTTGAGTGCCGAGGGGGCGGCGTCCGAAATAATTGCGAAGCAGTCCCACGCGGGAGCGCACTTCGCAGAATTTTTGAGGAAATCCCGCGCGAGAGCGCGAGTTGGGAATCAAATGTGAGGAAATCTCAGGCGGGAGACGCTGTTGTTGTAAGATGCGAGCCCTGGGAGTAGCACTTTGATTGGCAAATGCAGTAATTATTCTTTCGAGTTGAGAAGGTAACAGCGAGGACGACGACGAGGACGAGGACTACGACCACGAGGTCGAGGACGTTCAGGAGCGTTTCTTTATGGAGGTTTTCTTTCGTTTCTGGAGGTTTCCCCGCCTCGGGCTACTCTCCAGCAGCTGCGCCTCGCCGAGTGCGTTCTGGGGGGGCCAGAGGGGGGGAGGCCAGAGGCGTGCGGAACGGCCTCCAGAGGCCCGAGTTATGACCAGGAGTCAGATATCCGACGACATGATGCTTTCTAAGCCGCTTGAGGCGAAAAGTTCGCATGCGGGGCACAAGAGCTGATGGGTCTGCTAATGTTACCTTCCCCCGTCACCTCCCTTTTCGCCGCAGCGGGCCTTGACGCGGCAGCGCTTTCGATCCAATCCCAGGCTACGATGACGAGGGTCCAAAAGAGCCCCAAGAGTGCCCAAGAGGTCACAAGAGGGCCCCTCAGACACACACCCACAGTACCATACCAGAGGCTCCTGGTATGATGCTGTTGGGGGCCTTCTTGGTACCCTCTTGGAGCCCTCTCAGGACCCTCTTGGGTACCTCTTGGAAGTCTCTTGAAACCCTGTGCAGTCTCGTTGCCAGAAAATCCGAAGAGAAGCCAAAGGCGAACCATGAGGGTCCGCAAGAGCCTCGAGAGGGACCGGCAAACAGCTCCAACACTTTCATACTGGGGATCCTTTGGGGCCCGCTTATGGGTCTATGTGCTTTCTGGGGCTCGTTCGACGGCACTTCTTATCGTCTCGTGGGATGTGTCCGCGGCCTCGGGGCATTATGTACTGGACCAAACAGACAAGCCCAGACCAGAATAAGCAGCTCAACCTGATCACCAGATTTGCACAGCCTGGACAGACCAGACCTGCCACCCAAGACCACACGGACCAAACAGACAAGCTGGGCCAGCCAGTCAGACCAGCCTGGTAGATGGTAGATCAACCAGACCAAGCAGACCGGCAAGCCCGTCCGACCAGCGAGGCCTGGACAAAACTGAGCAGGCAAACATGCCCCGACCAAGCAGACAAGCCCAGACCAGACTGACCGCTGCACCGACCTTGCAGACGTGCTGCAGCGGAGTTTTGCGTGGATTTCTGCCAGCACAGGACCCAGAAACGGCGAGTGGAAAACGAAGTGAATTTCGCGTTGATTTGTTTTGGTCTTCATTCCTGGCCCCAAAAAAACGCACGGAATTCACCTCGAAAGCCGGAACGAAATTCTCCAGGACAATCCGCGCCCATCCTTCTCGTTTTCCGAAACAAATCCGCTGTGCGATGGTGGCGCCATGAGTAAAGGGGCCCTGGGACACACAAATAAATACACACAACTAACCGCATGTCCAATATTTTCCTATATTTTCTAGGTTGTTGTCTCCCCTCCCACTTCCCATATTTTCACATATTTTCTGGAAATCGACAACTAATTGTGTCTGTGTGTTTTTTCCCCTGCTGAATGAGCCTGAGCAGATCCACCTGACCCGACCAAGCCGACCAGCCCGACCAGCCAGACCAGACAGCCCGACCCGTCAGACCGTCCGGCCAGGCCAGCCGGCCAGGCGCCACTGCAGCGGGACAAAAGAAACTGCACAAATTGAGCAAGGACCGACCGTCCCGGCATTCCTAGAATCCTACCACGAAATTTTCTTAGAACCCCAAAATGTTCCAAGAGCAAAAACAATGTTCTTAGAACACAAACCCGATGTGTTCAGACAAGACAGACGCCGCCAGAACTGTTCTGAGAACAGTTCGTGGAAACCGCGAGAGGTTCTTAGAACATTGTTTGGTAGGGCTATAGGCGAGCCAGGACGCTTCGCCACTGCTTGAGGGATGGGTGGGCTGTCGGGCACCTGTCGGCGATGAAGGGGCGATTAGTGACCAACCAAAAAAAGGCCCGAACCATTTTGGAGGGGACCCACGTTAGGAGGGCCAAGAATATTACGGATGCGGGGTCTCTTCTGCAGATGCACCCGGCCAAGCCGCCCAGATCTATCATCCCTAATGCGAAGATGGGGACCTCAATGAGGCCACGTCTGCATTGTGCTATTAGGGGTAGGGGTTCTTCTGTTAGGACGCACAGAGACATACTAGTACGAAATGTCCTGCTTGGAGGCGCGTGTCCGACCCGAACATACGAACATACAATATACCCATCTTGTCCTACATCGCTTCCCGGGCGGTGGGGCCAGAAAGCGCCCGCCACGGCGCCAACACCGTAAGCTTCCTCGGTGCGCGCGTCGCCCCTGGGGTGACGCTGACTCGATCTCGATGCTATCC